TAGGCCTGAGGGAAGGGCTGGCTATCCAGGGCTGACCTAGGTCTTACCTTTGGAAACTTTCCCAGGCCTCTGGGCGTCCAGGCCTCCTACTCCCTTATTCCCAGGACCGCCCCCAGAAAGCCTCCAGGAAGTCAGGTGCAGCTTTTTCTTATGATGCTTTGGTGCCCTTGGCATGGTTCAGAGGTGGAAGTGTGGATAGTGGGGAAGAGCAGACAGCTCTGATTTTGTGCCCAGACTCCCTTCCTTATCAGATGGTGGAAAGAGCAGAATGAGCAGCAGGGAGACTGTCCTGCCAGGCAGACAGAAGCACAAACTGGCTGGGCTGCCAAGCAGGGCCAAAATCCCAGGAGAGTTCCTTAGGACACCAGGCCTGGTAGGAGGGATGGAATTTATTTTCTGCCCAGGTAAAAACTATTATTTCCTCATGGTGACCTGTCCTTTCTGGGTCTGAGACAATTGTTCAGAGGTCTTGCGTCACCTCTGAGCAGGTATGGTTTAGGCTGTCCCTTTCTCTAGGAGTCCTGCTCTCTGTGCCCATGAAGGTAGGCCAGGAGCTCAGCAGCCTGTCCCTGGGCCAGCCTTGGCTAAATGATGGAGGAGGAGGGATATTGCCTCAGGAGCCATCCTGCCGGCCCTGGATCTTCATAGTTTGATGGGAGTGCAGGACCATCTTCCTGGGTGGTGTAGGGAAATAGCTAAGAGTTCTCTGACCTTGGGCTGTAGTCAGGAGAGACTAGATGGAGCATTATTAGGTCACGAGGCAGGAGACCAGATTTCTAGGTAGGACTCTGCAATTCAATGCTCTTTAGCTTTTCATCTTATCAGCAAACGGTCATTGAGCAGATTCTATGTGCCAGGCACTTGGGATACCATAATAAACAAGATAGGAGTTTGGGAAGATCAAATGAAACAGCACGGGAAAGGAAAAGGTGACAAATACTTTACAAATGGGTCACTGGTGTCCTGGGAAGCAGAGAAGGGCAGACAGAGCAGTGAGGGAGGCAGCAGACAGACTGCAGGGCAGAGTTCTTTTCCCTGCTCAACTTGGGCTGGAGCAGAAATCCCAAGGAGCCCAGCCAGGTCGAGGACTGCAGGCTTCATCACAAGCAAGCTCTCAATGGTAATGCCCAGATCAGGCAGCAGAGGGCAGCAAGGGGCCTGTCCCTGGAACGTGGCCTCCAAGTGATGGGAGCTGGAGAGGGAGGAAGGAGATGGGCATTGGAAAGGATGATTAGCTTTCTCCTGGGGGAGGGAGTACATGTATCTTCTCCCACCTCAGTCCCCTGCAAGTCTGGCTGATGGGTGCTTTGCTTTCTGGACCAAGTGGCCTTCCTGCACCCCCCGCCCCCAATAAAAAAGGAGTCTGTCCCCAGGCCTCTGGGTGGTTTGACTTTACTTTGTGGCAGGAATGGAGTGGTGGTGGTGGCTGCTCTGAGTGGAGGGACCCATGGCTATTTATTTGGTGCTGGTTTGAGGAGAGGGTTTAAGCCAATTATCTGCTGTCCCTGGTCAGCCCTGATCCCCAACCTGACCAACACCCTTCCTCCAATTTAATGGGAGCTTTGCTGTCCTTCTTCCTTGAGAGTAGGACAATGTAATTATAAGTGGCACCCTAGCTTGAAGTTCCATCCTAGCACAGTTGGTAGGAGACCCCTGGGGCCCAGGAAACCCAAGAAGTCTTCTTGCTAACTGCAACAGGTCCATTCCTGCTTTACTGGCCTATCCCCCCACTAGAACCTCCCAAACCAGACCTTCTGGAGAAGACTGGTTGCCAGGGTGGAAGGGGAGGTTTGGGGAGACTTGGGAGAAAGGGACCTGGGGACAGTAAGCAGGAAACACCAGGGTTGTAGAAGAAAGCATCTCCCCACCCCAGCAGAGTCCTGGAGGAGGTGGCAGCAGTTGGCTGAGCCCAGCCTTTGCTGCAGTTGCAGTAAGAAAAGTGGGTGAAGGTGACAGCAAGTGCCCAGCTCCCAGGTAGATGCTACGTGACTCCTGGCACGTTGAGTGTCTGTGTGTTTCCTGGGCGACCAGCTAAGCCACGGACATGGAGAGGAGGATGGGAGTGTGACAGGAATGCAAGGGAGGGAGGGAGGGAGGCATTGCTGGCTGGCAGCCCCTCACATGCTGCTAACGTGCTCTGCCAGCACCCTTGGCCTGCTTGGCACTGCCCTCCCCACTAGTTGAGGTTACTGTATTTCTCTAGCATCCTTACCAGTTTCTCCTTGCTCCCAACTGATGGGCCTGGGCCACTTTGAGGTGCCCCCTCATCTACTGGAGTAAGAGGTAGCCAGCCCTAGGGTGGGTGGGGTGGGCTCAGCCCTTTTTCAGAGTGTACCAAGGTGCTGGTGGCCTATGACCAGGGCAGTGTTTTGCCCAAGCGGTCCTCCCTGGGTAGGCAAAAGAGCAAGGCAGAGTCTAGCCTTGCCACTTCAAGGGGCAGTGGGACTACAGGCTCCATGGATGTAGAGGGACTGTTTCTATAGGAAGTTGGCCCCAGATGATGCACCTTATGGGGGTGACTAAGGGAGCATTGGGGAATAGGACCTTCCTTGGGCCTGTGCTTATGGCCAGAGGCTGCACACAGTGCCTAGGAACACTTTGTTGGGTCACCCTCCCATCCCCACTACCCCTAGGCAATGTCTACTGCTGAGTGATCAGGAGGGTAACAGGCCAAGGCCTTTATAACTGTGATGAGGGCAGGTCTAGAACCTGAGGGGCTCAAGAGTAAAGGTGGTGAGTCGGGAACGCCTCTCTATTCCTTTCTTCTCTAGGGGCTAACTGGCAGGCATTGAGGGCCTGGGGAGTTGAATCAAGTCAGCATGTGGTGTGGATGGGTGGTGGCATTTGATGCTGGCCACTGCACTGTGCTAAGGTGGGCTCCAGGACTCCTCTTTCCCGGAGCAGGGTTGAGATAGCTGACCTGCATACTCCCAGAAAGCTCTGGCTTTTATGTGGGCTGGTGGATTGCACCCTGAGCAAGGATGAGCTGCTGGCAGGGTTCTTGGTGGTTAGGTCTCTCAAATGCAGGGTGGCCCCCAGTGGGTGGGGACTGAGTGTAAGGCTGCTGGGTGTGGACTGACTAGGGTGGGCCATGGTTGGAGGAGGCCTGTGGGAAGCTGGGGTGGTGGGAGCAAAGTAGCCAGGCTGAACTGGCAGCCGATGAAGGCCTCTGAGCAGCCCTCAGTGCATCACTGGCTGGTCCAACACCAAAACCTTCAAAGCAATTGCCCTTCTGGCACGGAGTTAGCAGAGCTGCGGCTGGGCTGGGCGAGGCAGCAGTGCACAGGGGAATCGAAGCTCCAGATCTGCATCCAGAGAAGATCTTCCCAGGCTCCTTCCTCCCACACAGCAGCTCCCTCCCTTAGCTCTGGAGCTGGATCAGACCCTTCTCGCCAAGTCCTCATGGCTGCACTACTCAGCCCCAGGCTGGGCTCCTCCTGTCTGGAGGAACGAATATCAGGGCAGAACCCAGTAAAGACAAGGATTCATTAGCTGAGGCCCAAGTCTCCTCCTGCCAAGGACAGATCAGTCTATAAGCTGCCAACAAGAGCCACTGAGCTGGGAGGCCTGAAGTGGCCAAAATGTGAGCCCCTACTCTGGTCTAATCCATCTCAAGGCAAAAGGCTTTTGGGGTTGGGGGAGAGAATAAAATGGCATCCTGGGGGCAAAGCAGCCCAGGGCTACAGGTTGCCAATGACCACCCTAGTGCAGGGTTGAGGGAGCCTAGAGTATCCAGCTGACCAGCCCCAACTCCACAGTGCCATGGGTTCAGCTTCCTCCCCGACTCAACCTTTAACTAGATTTGCTGACAGGAACAAAAGGACTGGTTTGCGTTTCACCTTTTCATTTCCTTTGCCCTCCCTCTGGAAGACAGTTTAACGAGTGAAATGGCTAAAAGGCAATCAGGAGGGAAGTGTCTGCTTAGTTGTCTCCCCTTTTCCTGGTGGAACCTCAGCACCCTGGCCTGGCAGCCCAGGAGCTTCTGCAGAGTGGGCAGGGTTACAGCTCCCCAGGAGCCAGGCCTCACCTTGTGCTTCCTCCCCCCAGGGTCCTGGAGCATCCAGATGGAGCGAGGCAATGCCTTGGTCGTGCTGCGAAGCCTGCTCTGGCCAGGCCTCACCTTTTACCATGCCCCCTACACCAAGAACTATGGCTATATTTATGTGGGCACTGGGGAGAAGAACATCGACTTGCCCTTCATGCTGTAGGATGGAGGCTGGCCTGAGGAATTTTGATGTAGAATCTATACGTTATTTTCATAAACTTCTGTGAACTTGGTCTGTTTATTTTGCTCTTTCTCCCCTTCCCCCCATCCCCACACTTCAGTCTGATGTCCAGGCTTTAGGAGAGGCTGGGCTTCAACTCAACTCTAAAGCAGAGGGTTGGAGTGTACCAACCAGAGTTACTAAATGATGATGAATGGAATGGCTGCAGGTGACAACCAGAACACTTTGAGGAGGGCAACTTCTTGGACTCAGATTAGAGCTGCATATGGGCAAACAACCCAACGCCCCTGTCTTCGCCCTTGCAATCCGCAGGCTAAACAAGCCGCTGTCAGTAAAGAGGACAGGAACCTATGGGGCCATGATCACCCTCCAATTGTGTTATGTGGCCCTTCATGAGACGAGCAACCCAGTGCTCAGCAACCGGCAGGAAATGGACCCCCAACCCCACACCCACCAAGCAGTGAGCACACACCCAGTGGGTAAGTACATGAGCTTGGTTTATGACAATCTTCAGGCAAAACTGTCCCCTAGCCCTGAACATGGCCTACACTAGTCATGAGATGACAGCAACTACCAAGAGGCCCACAGCCTGCCCAGTCCTATCTCCCAGCACTGCTGCTGGGCAAGCTGAGGCGAGAAATACCCCTTGGGCCATTCACATGCTGGAGGGGGGCGTTGGCCACCATGATGGGGTGCCAAAGTACACCTGAGGCTGAGAGCTGGCCTGCTTCACAGTGGGTGTTGGGCTCTGGGCGATCAGGAAGCCTTGCTCTCTCAATGATACAGCACCAAAGGTTTTCCTGAGTAGGAGACGTTGTCCTTCAGCAAGGGCGACCCCACGGCCATGCGCACTTTGTTCCAGCGGTGGCCTTTATTGTAGATGGGCTTGACGGAGCTGGGAGACCAGCGGGTCAGGTACCTATGGAGGGGACAAGGAGGTGGCTGTGAGGACTGGGGACCCATGCTGGAGCTGGAAGTGAAGCACTGCCTCTTCAGGCCAAAGGCCGCTGGCCAAGCAAACCCTTTCACCAGTTTTACTTTCTTGAAGGATAGGGGCTTTTCCTGGGAGTAACCGCTTAGCTTAGCGTGCTGTAAACAGATGGGTTGGGCTCTTGCTGCCGCAAGTGTGTGTGGCCTGGGTCAGGGCCGGCAGGCAGCCCAGGGCCACATGCTCCCTTGATCTTTATGAGTTGTCAATGTTTGTGTGTTTGCTGGGGGAGGAGACGGGAGGAAGAGCTGCTCCAGAGCAGATCATTCCTTTCTGACCTTGGCCCTGGGGACAGGAGAAGCTGATGTCAGGGCCTGGAGTAGCCCTCCACTCTTCCCCACTTGGCTTACTCTGCCACCTCAGCCTTTGGGGTGTTCCCCTGGGCAGTCATAACCTGTGTAGGACCCCTGACCCTCACCTAACCCTAACCAAGGGGTGGGGGCTCACGGGTGCAGACCTAGCTCAGGAAGGTTCCTTAAGTAGAAGGGGGGTGGGGGTGGGGAAGATGGCTGCCACCCAGGGTCCTCTGGCCTCCTTTGGGGATGGTCAGGCCCTGATAGTTCCCAGAAAAGTAGCTCATGGAACCTGGATCCTGTCCAGTGAGGCCTATCCTTCGCCCTGCACGCTCAGCCACAGCAAAGGCCAGTTATCTTCCCCTGCAGCCATGCTAGGTTAAGGTTCAACCCAGTCTTTTTAGAGACCCTCAAATGAATTATTGTTTTTAATTTAAAAAATTTTTTAGATTAAAAAAAGTGAAAAGATGATTGTTGATTTATACCTTTCAATTACATTTCCTAGACCCATCTCTGTTCCTCAGCCCTGGGCAGAGGGCACAGCACTGTGAACAAGATGCAGGAGGTACTGGCCTGTAGGCCAAGTGTGGCCATGTGGGAGGGGAGGGGAGGCCCTCCCTGTGTCTACCGCAGACGTTAACACTCAGCCAGGGACAAGTGTGTGGAGTGCGCTGGCCCAGAAACAGCTTTCTCTATAGCTGATGGTGCTGGCACAGCAGGCCAGTCAAGGCACAGGGAGGGAAGCACCTGGCAGGACCTGTTGCTGGGGATGGGTGAAGATGGGTTCTGAGCACAGGCTCCCAGAAGGGGGTCTCATTGGGATTCAAGAACCCAAGCAGGTCCGGAGGCTGACTAGGTTCTCCAGAGCTGTTCTTTGTCCCTGGCCCAGTGCCTGGTAGAGGGTGGGCTGGGTCTAGGAAACACCAAGGTTCCTTCCTCTCTCTCCTATAGTGGGTGCTGAGGAGAGATGAGGCAGAACACAGCCTGGCTCCACTGGGTCCCAGCTGAGCCTGGGCCAGTGTGTGGCAGCTCAAGGACCTCTGGTGGAATCACAAAGTCCCTCATAAAGGAATCAATCTCTCTCACAGCCTGGACTCCCTCTCCCCTCTGGGATGGCCTTTTGCAACCCAAGAGCCCCCACACGTCATCAATCCTGTGTCACGTTAAAGGACACCAGATGTATGGGAGGGTGCCTGGCCTTGCTTCAAAGGCCTGAGGGCGGGATGGATTGTATCCTCAGGCCCGCCTGCCGTCTCTTAAAGAAAGGAGGAGGGAGGGGGTACTCAACCCCAAAGGGTCCACATAATATTTGGGAGAGACAGGAAGAGGTTAATATGCTCTCCTCTTATAGGGCTGCTGGCAGATGGCCCAGCTGGCAATGTGGGAGGTACAGGTGGAGGTGGGCATAGGGCTGGGGTGCTGGTGGGGCACCAGTAAAGGCCTAGCTTCTAGGGGGGCAGGGGAGGCGAGGTACCAGGAAGCAGCCCTGCATTCCCACCTCCTGTAGCCCCAGCCCAGCAATGTGTGGCTGGTACCTGCCTGGCCTCACCCTTCCATGCTTGAGTTTGGTTGGGGACCTAGGAGGCATGCTGGGGTGTGGGGTGTCTTGCTTTGCTTCAGCTGTCTTTGGTCCCTACAGAGACAGTCCATCTTTTTCATTCCACACTGGGAATGGCCGCTGGCAGCTGGACAAGCTAAAGAAAAGGAGGGGCTGTTGGTAGAGGAGGATAAAAAGAAACCCCCAAAGCAACTTTACAGACCTGGATCTATACTCAGCACCTCAGGGGTATTATAGATCTAGAGTGTGTGTGATGTGGTGATGTCAGAGATGGGGAGGAAGAGGAACAGGAACTCCAAACAGAAGCTGCTCCTGCACTAGAGGGCAGACTGATTCTTTCTGGGGCCTGGGGTCTTCTCTTCCTCTGTAAATCCTCAGGACCTCCTTGGCCACCATGTGCAGTTATGCAGGTTGTTAAGTATATAACTCCAGAGAACACAATTCACAGTCATGAATGTTGCTCTTAAGTTGTACAATGCATGGCTTGCACAGCTGTAGGCAGCAGCCCTGTCCCAGAGCCCTCCCATTTCTAAGACCTCATTCTACCCTTTAGTAACCCCAGTGCTAGAGAGAGCTGGGATACTGAAAGTTTGTAGAAATGCTCTGACATCCCCATAGCAACCCAATGTGATGTCATAAACAGTGGATTAGCACTTTCTAACACCCAATCAGCAAAGCAGGCCTTCTTACCCTCTTTGCCCCTGTGCTAAGTGGTTTACTGGGGAGGGAAGAGGAAAGAGGCTGAGGTCAGCAGGGAGGGTGAAGGAAGTGTGTGCAGTACGGAACTGTAGCAGTGCTAGACTGATGGGGGTGGGGTGCTCATTTGGAAGGGAATGTACTAAAGAGCCAAGGAATACTCAATACTCTAGCTTTCCTGAGTGGGGACAAACCCCTGCAAATGGCTTCCCTGCAGGTCCACAGAATGCTCAGGCTGTTGACGCCCAGGTGTGCTTACCGGTTGAGTTGTGGTTTGCTCCTGGGAACAAACCCTTCAGGAAGCCGAGGCCTGTGATTTGGTAACAGACCTGTGTGGAGGGAAGAGCGAGTAAGGGATGGTCTGTGCAGTTCCCTCAGCGGTTTTTAGGGGGGCAAGGGATAGCCGAGGGGTGAGGAGGTTGTGATGGGGATGAGTCTAATTTGAAGATTCTGGGTGTCCACTTCTAAGAGGGGCTCAAGCATGTGGTAGCTGATGGGGGAATGGCTCCTGTAGCCCTGTCACCCTTAGCCCTGAGGGGGTTTCTACCTGCTCGGTGGGCCATCTTCACACACTCCTCAATCTTGCGGTGCTCTTCTTGGCACAGGCCCGTGATCCTTCGGGGCAGCATGCCTCCATGAGGCCGGATGAACTGACTCAGCAGCAGGACATCCTAGTGGAAAAAGAAAACCAGTAGGGGGACAGGGGAGCTCAGGGTTAGCTGCACTGGCTTTTGAAGCTGGGGAGCCAGGGCAGCTTGGTCTCCAGGGGAGCTGCCTGTATCCCAGTTCTCAAAGATGCCTGCATCTCCTTTGAGCACCTACCTGAGACAATGCCCTCCACAAAGAGCTGTGCACACTGGTCTGCTAACCTCACCCCGTGAATCCCATCTGTATTAAGACTGTCTGTACCTCATAGTGAGATAATCATCTGACAGACTAGGTTAGAGAACAGAAACTTCCAGAAGCATTAACAATCTTTTATGTACCTACAGTGTCTCTCCTGGTGAGGAAAGATCTGTTGAGTTATTCTCCTTGGGTAGGGTTAGGAGGATGCTGTGATCTTCCCAAAAGAGGGAACACCTGTGATGTTTCAGCCCCCAAAGCCTACACATCACATCACAGGTCAGAGTATATGCAGAGAGTTCTTCCACCTTCTTCCTATCCCCCTGAAGTGCTAGCAGGCCTACACATTGAGAAGGAAGGATGAAGGTTGTGAAGAAAGATGGTAGTTGTACTCCCACGATGTGTTGTGTTTTTGGCATTCCAAAGGACCATCACATTCTCACCAGACTGCTTTGGACAGGCCAAAGTAACAAGGATGAACAGAGCCAGGATAAGACAAGAGACCACCTTCCCTGCAACCTTCTTAGGCTGGCTGGGTGATTTCCTTAAAAACACTGATGGGGTTAAAGAAAACCTACTATTCCCCACTCCACCCCCAGGGGCCTGGCAGGCTGGTCTTAGCAGTTGTGTTCCATGAAACTGACTTGCTGCCCTTGAGGAGCCTCGCTGGATAACTGCAGATTTGTTTTAATCACTGGACAGCTCCGGAGGGACCCAGGCCCCTAATTCCCACCCCCGTAATCTTCAGAATCTGATGAAAAGAACTTGGATTGGGTTAATCCGAGGCTAATAAACTGTACTCATAGCCTCAGCTCCCTGCTGCAGGCTGCCAAGCAAGCTGACAGTTTTATGCAGCTCAGGCTAATGGTGCTCTGAGTGGAAAGGGGTAAAAGGAAAAACAACTTTAGTCTTCACCTCAGAGAGGATTAGGTTTCTTCTGCTGGATAAATAGAGCCAAGTATGTTTCCTGGAAACGGCTGGTATGAAGAGTGCCCTATGGTGGCTGGGCAGGTGGGAGTTCACATACCCATCGGCCACCAAGATTTAAAGTATGCCCACAACCCTGCTCACTTCCATATCACAGAAGCCTGTGAACACTGTCCCTTTGCCTCCAAGCTTTCTGTTACTCCAGGAGCCATCAGAAGGGCCCTGGCACAGAGCAGAAGAGCCCTGCCTTGCCTGCAGGTGGCGTGAAGCCAAGGCTTCCCAGCCCAAGAGATTAGCTGGGTCATTCTGTTTAGATCCCATGGGCATGTGTGCTCTCCTGCTCTTATTGCCTGGCCAGGATCTCCAGCCCTTAGTCATCCCATTCCACAGAGGGACAAAGGGACAACTTGCAGGTCAAATTGGCCCAGAGACTGAATCACCTGAAACTCAAAAATAGGGAGCTTAATGTCACCAAGGAGAACTTGGAAGAACAAGTATTGATTTCTCCATGCTGGGTCAGTTCCCTCAGGCCCTCCCTGTTTCCAGAGGCTTTACAGAGTGCAAATCAGCAACGTGGGCTCTGCCTGGGCTTTGTATCCCTGGAGTTTGTACTTCAGCTCTGACACTAACTAGCTCAACCTCTCCACCCCTCAAATGTCCTCATCTTTAAAGTAAGGATGAAGAAAGCACCGACTTCACAGGGTTATTGCGAAAATGAAGTAAAATAACACACAGGAGCACCTACACACAACAGTGCCTGACCTACTGTGGTTATTCACTATTACCTTCTTCGCCAGGAAACAGCAATTCTAGAAAAACTAGAACAATTAGGAGTCTTTGTAGCTCCGGTATGGAAAGAAGACAGTAATAGGTTCCAGGATCACAGTGTGGACCAGGAGTCTCTTCAAATACAACCTCGCTATAAAAGGAGGAAAGGCAATCCTAGATCATGATCCCACCCCTCTGAGAACACAACCCCTAAAAGGACTGAGTTACAGGGCCTGTGGTCTGAACACCAACCAAAATGAACAAGTGAAAAAACCCAGCTGTCAAGTTGACTCCAACTCACAGCGACCCCGTGTGTCAGAGTAGAACTGTATTCCACAGGGTTTTTGATGGTTGATTTTTCAGTAGACCACCAGGACTTTCTTCCAAGTGCTTCTGGGGGATTTTGAACTGCTAAGGTTGGGCAATCCTACTTCCGTAGTGATACTGCCTCGGAAACCCAAGGAGGGGTCGCTATGAGTCGGGGCCGACTCGACGGCACATAACAACAACAACAAAACCCTTCCAGTTAGTAGTTGAGTGCTTAACCATCTGTGCTGCCTGGGACCCCAGAACCACGAACTCTATCAGTGGCTCTCAATTCTGGCCACACATTAGAACCACCTGAGGGGTTTAAAAAACAATGAGCTCAGGCTCTACCCCAGCCCAAGCCAAACAATCTCTGGGGGTGGGGCTGGAGCATTTTTTTCAAGCTGCCTGGTGATTATAATGGGTAGTGAGGAATGAGACACACTGGATGAAATGCTCCTCAATGTGAGGCAGTGGCTATAGATAGAACGCTGCTGAAGTTAACCAGGGAATCCCAGCTCCGAGACACACAGAGCCAAGGGTCTCCACCTACACACTCACCTCATAATTATATTTGTGCTTCAGGTTCCAACGACAGATGGGGCACTGGCCAGAGGGGTTAGGGGGATTTGGACTCTCCTTGGGACTCTCTGTGATGTGACCTTCAATCTAGGAGGCAGAGAGAGAGCCAGTGAGGGACAGGGCCAGTGTGGATTCGGGTATCTTTGAGCAAGCCCTCAAAAACAGTGGAAATGCTGATTAAAGTTTATTTCCGGGGATTTTGTGGGAGTAGGTAACAGGTCTTTGCAGCCTGAACTGTGGCTGGGTGCTGGGGTAGCCATGGGCTCTGGTGGCCTGTAGGGGTAGTGGAAACCATCTGTACGTAATACTAGTGGCAAGAGGGAGGGAGGGGTTTGCTGTATCAGCTGAATTCTACCTTTCCATCCTTAAAACAAAATCACTTGCTGAACATAATGATTTCTTTCCCTCCCCTCCTTTGGGGAAAAGTAATACATGTACAAGTTTCAAGCCGCAAAGGGACACAGACTCCAATGAAAGTCTCCCTTCTCAACCCACGTGCTCCCTTCAGGGCAAAGTGCAGTTTAGCGTTAGGTGCCCGACAGGTCTATGCTTGGGGTTCTCAATGGGGCAATTCAGCCCCTCAGGCAACATTTATTTGTCAATGCCTGCAGATATTTTTCATTTTTGTTAACACGACTGGGGGGCGGCATGGGTTGCTACTAATATCTAGTGGGTAGAGGTCAGGGATGCCGACTAAGACAGCATACCCAAGACAGTCCCCACAACAAAGAATTATCTGGCCCAAAATGCCCCTGGTGGCGAGGCTGAGAAACCCCAGCCTATGCCTGGACAAGGAGATATCTGTGTGCATCCTCTTCCCCGTTCCTTGCTTTTGTCATCTTGGATGCCATTCTTCAAACCCTGCTGAAGCCACACGTGAAATGACTTTCCTGCTGCTGCCTGGCTGGCAGTCTGTCTCCTGTGTCAAAGCCTTGGAAGTACTAAGTTCAAAAAACCAGTGATCTGGGAATCTACTTCAACTGTGAGTGGGAGCTTAGCAAACTTTGCTGACTGAATTATGAGATGGGCTATGAGAGAATGGCTGGGACGGCTTTGGGAGGGAACCACTGTCTCCTGGGGGAAGAACTGGAGAAAGGGAAAAGGACCCGAAAACAAACAGCTGGCTGTGTGGGACAGTGCTACCTATCTATCTGCCAAGGCAACCATAACTACACCCGAAATATTTCATGGGTTAGAGAAAACATGCAGGTGCATGGCAGGGCTTGGGAGGAGGATTTAGGTAGGGTGGCAGGGGGGTAAGTGATTAGCATTTTCTGACTCCCTATTATGTATCTGGCTCTGTGCTAAGAACAGTTCACATGTAGCATCACATTAAATTCCCACAACCTAGTGAGGTAGGCATCACAAGACCCGAGAGAGTGACGCCTGAGGTCACCCATGGCAGTGCCTCTCCAGGCAGGGAGGGGCAGCGCTTCCCTTCCCCTGGGGTTTCACAGTACCACAGCGTCTCCAGTCCGTTCCCTGCAAGTCCCCACGTTTGTTCTACAAACAGCAGATTCACTCCTCACATGAAAAATTCTTTTCACACTCCAAAGGCAGATGTGTTTCTCTCTTCCAGCATGGAGTTTAGGGGTGAATGCTTGTTTTGGCTTTAAATAAGGGGACCAAAAAAGGTGCTCTAATGGAACAGAGCCCCTAAGACAATATAAGTGTTTTAGAGAGAAGTAGTGAAAAGGCTGAGAGCATTCTAGTGAAGACCCAAAGAGGAAGCCCTATAGTCCTGGGGATAAGACTACCTTGGGAGGGACTGAGCTTGGCTGGCTGCCAGAGGGATTAAATCCCTGGTTAGGATAGAAGTTAGAGAGGCCTCTGGGAGCTCTGTGAAGCTGCTGAGGATTCCTTAGAGGCATGGAAGGCCATGTGAAAATGATGCTGTCTTTTAGGGATTATAGGATAATCTAGGCCCCATGACTCTCTGAGGAAGGGAGGTAAGATGGGCTCAATGGGGGAAAGGGTGCAGTGGGTGGATGAAGAATTGTTCCAGCTTTCTCACCAACAGACAAGCCAGGGTGCCAGCCAGTGAGCCCAGAGTGTTTCACCTTTTAACTGCGTCACTTAAGGAGTGGCTTAATCATTCTAGGCAGAAAGGAAAGGAACTGAGGCCAGGCTCCTGGCTTGAGGTCAACTTCCTTTGGCTCTCTAGGCCTGCCACTGCCTTAGTTTCTCCTTTGGGAAACTGATTTATCACCTGCCAAAGAACACATCAGCAAAGGCCTCTGAGACCTTGTCATACAAAAGGCCATTTTAATCAAGTAATGAATGCCTCAGTCCAGGCACAGTGACTGTTCCTGATTAAATACACCACAGCACACAACTTGAAAAAGAATTGATTGTGGGATTTATGATCACAGAGGGAGCTGATTCTGGGGCCAGGAGTCTAGTTTGGGTCTCCTTCCCTTCCTCAGAGGAACAGCCAGGCAGCTCCAAGTATTAAAGAGGTTAGAAGTCACCAGCTTGATGATACTTACTATAGTCGTCTTCCCTTCTTGGATCTCCACCACTACAGAGATAAAGAAGAAAAATTAGGCTAGCCATTAAATAAAGAACATAGTTTTAAATAACAGCTCATATTCTTCACTTGCAGAAAGATGGAGCCTTCTGTCTGTACTCTCCCACGGCAAGGTTCCCTCCATGTGCCAAGGCTCTCTGCCCTGGAGGCTGGGTGGGACAAGCCCAGAATACTGTATAGTACCAGTTCTCTGGGATTTAGGGTCTTCATACTTCTTCTTCTTCTTTTTCTAAATTTTACAAGTGGGTGTGTCACCCTGGGGTGAGTGGTCTGCGTGTACATCTTGTTAACTATTGGGCTGAGAGCCCGCCCCTGGGGGTGAGTTTTATTCCAGGCGCAAAATGTATTCCAGGGCCATAGTATTGGGAGTCTCACCAGATTTCATCTGACCAGTGATTCTGGTCATTAATGAGTTTTTTTAATTTTGTTCCACGTTTCCCCTCCCATTGTATCCAGGATCTCCAGATTTGATCCTTTCCTGAGTGGTTGGCATTGGGAGCTGGGTACCATCTAGTGCTGGTCTCAAGGGCCATTGTGTCCTAGGGCTGATTGCTTCTAAATGCCCCACTCCCATTTTTTTTTCAGTTCTTCTTCACTGCCGATGCTAGGAGACTGTTAGCTGCATCTTAGATGGCTGCCTGAAAGCTTTTAAGACCCCAGTCGCTATTCGCCGATGTTGGATGTAGAGCAATACTTTTATGAATTTTGTTGTGCCAACTGAGTCTGGTGTCCCCCAGTACTATGGTCCTGAGGCAGTAGATCTATTGGATCTCTCCCTCGTAGTGTCTGGGTGTCTGTGAGGGATTACTGTGTGTCTGTCTTCGGTTGTTTCTGTAAGGACTGCAGGTATTTTGTATCACTGGTGTCTGTGCAAGATTAGCCTCAGCTGAATCTATCCTTGGTCTCGAGTGTACTTCTGTTCACTGACCCCATCTGATCATCTCAGGTGTTTATGTGTTTATCTGTATAGCCTAGTGTTTGGTGTTAATGGCAATGTGGTATTGCGGACACACTGGCTGGTATTAGTACCAGTTCTCTGGGATTTAGGGTCTCCATACCACTTTTGCCCTTCTAAGATGAGATTCATCCTGGTCTTATCTGAGGCAATTCTGCCCCACCGACTCTAGCAATAATGACACAAGAGTGGTGAGCAGAAACATTTACCAGACAAAAATGGCTTCTGACCTGGAAGAGTTTGCAAGCTAAGCTAGGGCACTGAGCTAACAACTAACACTGTGGCCCCACAGTGGATAAGCAGCAATGAGCCAAGTCCACTCCTAAAACTTGTCCCAGGAGCCTTGTGTAAGAATCTGTATGAGGACAGTTGTGTGAGTTAAATTCTTCTCTCCCCACTCTGTAGGATTTTTGTCATCTGCACTGGAGAAGGTGGTAGAAGAGTGACCTAGGAGAGGGGCCTGCAGATAATGGGTCCAGACAGAACTTCAAGGAGAATGCTGCCATTCCAAACAGAGGGGAATCCCTCAGCTCTGCCTATTTAGGTCTGAGGCAGTCCAATGAGAACTCCAGCACAAGACAATCAGCCACAGACATCTGTCAAACTGTTAAGTATTTTCTGTCTTCTGAATTAGGATGCAGAATGACAACTTTAACAATAATCAAAGGAAGAACTAAGCAAAGAATCTACAGTTGGCAAATATGATCAAACAGAAAGTTCTGGGCATACTTCTTTGTTTTTCTAATCTTTAGAAACAGAGACTCCACATAAAACTGTTCGCACAGGAACTGGCACATAGCAAATGCTCAACAAATACTAGCTTTCGATTTTAAGAGCAAAAGTATGGCCTTCTCCTGTAACAGAAAACTGGGGCCCATACATCTAGGCTACAAACTGTCTCTCCCCAAAATCCTAACACCATATTTTAATGGCAGTTTGACCACTACAATTACGTTTTACTCAAGCTCTGGCCAACGTAAGAAGTAGCAAAGATTAGAAAGAGGCTCTGCTTCTTAACTTTGATAATCCAGTGAAAGTTATGGGCCTCCTCCCTAGATAAAGGTACCAAGGATACACACAATAAAATAATGCAAGGACTTTAAGAGGCTTACTGAAAAAGGTACCAAGGATACACACAATAAAATAATGCAAGGACTTTAAGAGGCTTACTGGTTTGGGAAGCCATATTATTCATACTGGTTACCTCTCAGTGGTGTCAATAGGTGATTTTAATCTTTCTTTTTTTTTAAACCTATCTATTTTTCTAAAATAAACACGCACGGTTTCTACAATTAAAACAAAAAAGGAGAATGTCTAAGTAAAAAAGTGAGGCAATTCTAACCTAACCGGAGGCCCATGGTAGCATCTGTGATCACTGAGCTCTGTGACCGACACCTAATTGGACACAGACTGCTGGAATGGTTCCCCATTTGTTTTCTGGGCAAGGCCATTCATAAAGACTCATTACTCTAAAACAACCAACCTGAGAGGCCCTCAGTGTCCAATGCCGGACACACAGAGGAGTAAAATGACCAAAAAAGCCCTGGGGCTTTCTCCAGAGAACACTGTAGTCACTAATCAATTTGAAGACAAACTAGGCTTCTCCATCTAAAAGAAATGCGTCACCCCACACACGGATCTACTTGTACTGAACAGAGACCAGCCCAAGAACGGGATGTGGGTGAGACTCAACCTGGTCCTTGGTCTGGCAGCCAGTGCAGCTGTGAAGGAATGGTCACTGCAACGTGTCAGTCTGCAGACACAGCCTACAAATGTGAGAGAGCAGGGGGCACATTCCCAGTCCAGTGGGGTTCCAAACATCCTGGAAACTCTGGAAATTTGCAGAAATGAAGTTGAGAGAGGGCCTGGGGTGACCAAACTGAGCACCAACAGGAAGGGGGAAAGTTTCTGAGAATCACAAAAGAAAACAATACAAGAGACACATATTCTGGTACCACTTGAGTCCATACAAGAACAATGTCCGCAACACAAAGTGGATAAACATGTGGCTCCCCTCTTGGTGGAGGCACTTGGGTCCTAACCATGAGGTAAACAAGTCTAACAAAACACACATCACTCCCGGCAAAGAACCAAACCCTGAAGTCATCCACTGGCTCCTGGAAAGGAGATCAAAGCCCATGGCAAGCTCTGCTGTTCACAAGCTCCCCACACAGCAACTCTGAGCCAGTGAATCCTCTTACAATAAGCCAGTGGGTAAAACAATCAGCAGATGCTTATCTCATAAAGAGGAATCTGTCAAACAAGAAAGAATGACCCAAGAACTCCCTCCAGACTGAGATTGATCAGGGTGGTGTCTCAGTGCAGAGCGAGAGGCCCTAGTAGATTCTACGTCTCTGCAAACAGGAGATAGCAATCAGAATAGTATTGATTTCCAGTGTGCACACAAAAACATGTCAAAACCAAACAAAACCTGAGATCCATTTTATCACTGGCCTCTCCTCCATTTATTTCTTATTCAAGAGAAGTGGGGCAGCTAAGAGCTGGGCTCTGAAATACAAACACTAGTAGAAAACTTATCTAGCAAAAGATGGAATCACTCCTGCATCTGAGATATGGCTATATTAAATAAACTAAGGAAAGATATGAGGGACTTTTTTCAAATCAGAACTAAGGGCCAAATTGTTTTAAGACAGCAACCTCTCACACACATCAATTATCTGTCTCAAATAAGGCAACACATTGCAGAGGCTAGAGCCTTGCTTTGCCTACTGTGGAGAGTTACAGTTGAACTAGAAGACAGTCTTTGCCCTGGAGGAGGTAGGAAAACTAAAACAAGCATGGGAACTTCACTGTAATAAAGTCCATGCCTCGTAAAGAGGTCCTTTGAGTACTTCAGTAAATACTAGCCTAGGATGGAGTCCAAGATAACAGAATCATAATGCTCTGGAGCAAATAGCATTGTGGTGAGACTGTGGTGAATGCAAAAGACATTGCTGGTCACATAAACACACACAGTGAACTGCAGTGGTAGAAAGGCCCAACTGCGTCATAACAGAGGAAGTGAAGAAAGATGAATGCTAAGGAGTAGGAGGTGCTGCTGCAGAAGTATCCAGAGACCATGCTTCCTCTGGAAAAGATGCATGAAACCAAGTCCCAAGCAGCGTACGAAGGAATGGAGTAACTGAGTGGCAGGATGCATAGAAGGTGGCCTAAGTCTTGGAAAGGGTTGGGGTGGAGGGTAAGGGTGGGGAACAGAGTGCATGTTAGGGATGTGTGCCTACATTTCTGACCACTGACTACTTTTCTCAAATTCCTCCAGCATTGTTCCCTTTAGTTCATCTTCAATTCCATCACAAAGTTTTTAGGTCCTCCCATTACCACTCTTCCTCTCCCCTGCCCCTGTTCTTTTACTTTGGACCCCCGAGGGAAAGTCCCTCTGTGCTATGATTCAGAATGAGGACTCCTACTGCTGCGCAGAAGTTTCTTTCTACCAGCAAGTTGTTGTTATAAGTTGCTGTCCAATTGGCTCTGACTCATGGAGACTTCATGTACAAAAGAACAACATGTTGCCTGGTCCTGCACCATCCCCATGATCACTGGTATACCTGAGTCCACTGTTGACGCCACTGTGTACTTTGAGTGCCTTCCAACCCACAGGGCTCACCTTCCAGGACTATGTTGCTGTTAGCTGCTGCCGAGTCTATTTGGATTCAGCACAACTCCACGTGTGTAGACTAGACGTGCTCCACAGGGTTTTCAAGGATGTGATCTTTGGAAGTAAACTGCCAGGACTATCTTCCAAGGTACCTCTGGGTAGTTTTAAACCATCAACCTCCAGCCCTATATTGGATAATATTCTGTTGTGATTCATAGGTATTCACTGGCTAATTTTTGGAAGTAGATCACCAAGGCTTTCTTTGTAGTCTGTCAGCGTTTGGAAGCTCTGTTGAAACCTGTTCACCACAAGACCCTACTGGTGTCTGAAATAGGTGGCATAGCTCCCAGCATCAAAGTCAGAAGTTTCTTTCCACTATGAAGTTACTCTGTACTATATGCATTGAATGCTTTAAAACCCTCAACTTGCTCCCTACTTTCTCAAAGCGTTTAGCTATATGGCTGAGCACCCTGCCTGCTATATCCTTGTATGAAATGCTAGGCCTTCCATAAAGCCTCCCTTAGCTAATTGGAAGAGATGAAGTAAATTTCCTTTGGCATTACTCAACACAAGGTGCTATGGTGGTGCAGTGCCTAAGGCATTTGCTAACCAGAAGGTTGGCGGTTCAAAACCACCAGCCACTCTGTGTAAGGAAGATGGGGGAACCTACTTCCATAAAGATTTAATGTCTTGGAAATCCAGTGGGGGTCGCTATGAGTAGTAATCAACTCAATAATGGCAGTGAGTTTAGTTTTTACTCAACACACTTTGTGACAAGTGCCTGACACATCATAACTGTTAATTCAAATAACCTTATGTGTTTCTTTTTCTTGTTTTAAATATATTTCTTTCATAAGGGCTCTAAGAATGATAAGCCAGGAACTAAGCCTAAGGGAATCTTTGAACAATAGATGCAATTAAGTGGTCTTCAGCAAGTTGATTTATGAGGCTTCAGGGAAATAAGGGAGTAACGAGGAGATCCTGCCATGAGGTGTCACGGGAATGTTACTGGTGTAGAGGAAAGAGTTCTGGGTTTACTTCCAGCTCCATTGCTTACTAGTTGTGTGATGTTAGGCAAGCCACTGAACTCCCCTGGGTTTGATTTCCTCATCTGTCAAATTGAGGACAGCAATATCCACCTTTAAGGATTATTGAGAAGCCTGAATACACATATGTGAAAAACCTAGCACAGTACTTGCAGCAAGCACTTACTAAACTGTATTTTCCATTTTCGGCCCTGTTCAGCCTTGCTTCTTCCATAATAATCTTTTTTTGCCTTTGTGTGTCCCTCTGTTGGAACTCTGGTGGTACAGTGGTTAAGGCACTTGGCTGCTAACCAAAAGGTTGGTGGTTCGAACCCACCAGCCACTCTGTGGGAGAAAGATGAGGCAGTCTGATTCTATAAAGATTCACAGCCTTAAAAATCTAGGAGACAGTTCTACTCCATCCTAAAGTGTCACTGTAAGTTGGAATTGACTGGAGACCAGTGGGTTTGGTCCCTCTTAATAAACCTTGAGAGACCAGGGTTTCTCAACAGCAGGACAACAAACATTTTAGGCCAGATAGTTCTTTGTTGTGGGGAGTTGTCTGCACTGCTAAGATGTTTAGCAGCCTCCTTGGCATTTACCCACCAGATGCCAGTAGTACCAGCATGGCAAGCAAAAATATCGCCAGACATTGTCCTCAGTTAAGAAGTACTACTTTAGACTGAAAATCTTTACAAGTAGGACACTGCAAAGTCTACTCAAGAACTTTGATTAAATTAAGTAGTACTACCTAATACTTGGGAGCTCTGGTAGCATAGTGGCTAAGTCACTTGCCTGCTAACCAGAAGGCTGGTGGTTCAACCCCACCAGCCGCTCCTCGGAAGGAAGGTTGGGCAATCCTACTTCCGTAGTGATACTGCCTCGGAAACCCAAGGAGGGGTCGCTATGAGTCGGGGCCGACTCGACGGCACATAACAACAACAACAACCTAATACTTTGAAAAGTAGCATGCTTGAATATTTTCAGAAAAAGACTCAGCTTCTTCCCTACAACTTTAAATTTATTTGGGTGTCATACTAGCTGGGACCAGCAAAATCAGTTATATGTGTAATATTTTATGCCTTACAAAGAATGGGTAGAATAACAAAAGAAAATTGTTCTCACTTAAAGGCTCTGGAAACAAGGTGATTCTCAAGAAGAATACAGAAGATGGTGGCTTCACGTAACATCACATTCAATTCAGTCTAACATTTAGCTGGTAAGAGCTGTTAGATCTGAAATGAGTAAGAAACAAAAGTAAAACCTAAGTATTTATAGAGAGACCCACTTGGTTATGTCCATCATTTCCAACTAAAAAAGTTCTTTTAAGTCTAACCTCAAACATTCCTATTGTAAGAAAAATCTATTCCTCTTGCCTATTGCCAAGAACTATTTTCAACTTTGAATCTCAAAAAGATACGCAAATTGCAGTCATTGTTAGACCTTTGGTAAAACAAACAAAGAAACAAAAAACCAAACTCACTGCCTTGGAGTTGCTATCTCTAAGGAAGTAAATTGCTCTTCCTTCTGAGGGGTGGCTGCTGGGTCTGAACTGCCAGCCCTCTGGTTAGGAGTCAAATGCCGTAGGCACTATGCCACCAGAGCTCCCAACATTTGGTAGCCACCCTCAGAAAAAGGCATATGCCTATTTTGTGGCATGAGAATAGATGAAACACCTTTCATGAAACATGACTTCTCTTCTGTCTTTCTCTATTAACAGATTAGTCTATCTAATGTTAACCAGGCAGTGTTTGGACCTTGTTGTTCTAATAAATGTTCCATCTTCCTTTCACAGGTAAATTCTTCAAACACACTTCCTACTTCCATTTCTTCATCAACTATCTCCTTGATTCCCCCAAACTGGATTTTTTTCTGTCACTCTGTTGAAAGCTAAAAAGAGATCTCTTGTGAGACAAATCCAGTGGGCCTGTTCATTAGGCTCTTCTTTTTGGACTTTTCGGCTCCTTTTGACAACAATAATCACTCTTCTCCTCTAGATACTTCTTAGGTTTAGTTGGAGGATATGCTGACCAGAGCCTTGGGGGAAAAAATTACTTGCATATCACCCATCCTCTCTTGCTGCTAGCAGTACACAAGAGTAGAAGCATAGGCTATGTTCTCAAAGACCTTTTCATTCTTTTTTGATTTCATCCTTTCATATGCCTGTTCAAGGCACAACCCTTTATAAAAACTTCTAAATGTTTCCAGTTACAGACTAACCCTATAGTTGGTCGAGTAAATGTTTAACTCGCATTTGGCATAGTGCCTAAGGCATTTGACTGCTACCCAGAAGGGGGGCGGTTCAAACCCAGCAGTCACTGCTCGGAAGGAAGACAGGGCAATCTACTTCCATAGAGATGCTGCCTCGGAAACAGAAGGAGGGGTTGCTATAAGTCGGGGTCCGACTCGACAGCAGTGAGGTTTATTTTTTTTTTTTAATACTTATTATTTAAGCGTCTCGGAAAAAGGCTACATTTTCTCTTTCTCCAGACTCCTTTCCCAGTTCTCGGCCTTGAGTAAGTTCTCAGTTGCTGCTGGAATCAGGTCGCCTTTCCAGACTTAAGATTACCGAAAAGCAGAACCACCATCCAGCATTTGCCTCTGTTTCACCTGTTTCAAGGACCTTCCATCTTGGTCTCCACCTCTCAGCGAGACAAGAGGCCCGGACAGAAAAAGCCAGCGTCAGATCACAGGGTTTTCAGGTGATACAATGGAAAGGTTGGGAAATACGGAAGGGAGAATTAAGTTGCAGACCGTTACTGAAAACTTTTCCACACCTTGGGGCAGATTTTCCTTCTGCTCCTGCCGACTAAGCAGGCCTTTCCTTCCATCCTCCCCTTCCTTGCGAGGTGAGTCACAAGGAGCGCAACGTCAAGATACCAGCACAAGTTCTGGAAAGGACTTTAAAGCAACCCCGGGGCATCATCAGGTCCGACTTTTCAGAACCGCGCAAAGCAAAGGGAGGGAGGGGCGAGTGCAGACTAGCACCCGGCAACTGCCGCCCACCTTCTCCTCAACCTAGGGGTTGGGGAGGGTCGTCGGCACCTGGAACTCACCTTTCCGGAACTCGCGAGCAGGAGGCCGAGCCCAGCTGGTGGCTGCTGGGCCCTCCAGGAATCCCCGGAGCAGCCGCCTACAGCAAGACACGAGCGAATTGAAGGCGGCCATCTTGAAAACTGACCTCTTGGGCCATGCACTTCCGTTTCCGGAGCGGGGCGCGCGCAGTCGCAGTGGCGAAGGAAGAACTATACGGCTTGCGAGCTTCTCGGTCTGTCGCTTCTGTCACTTTCATTTTTCTCATCTCTTTGGCATTTGGCTAAGGAAAGAGGACTCTGAGTCAAGTCTGCGTTTCGTCACGAGGGTCTAAGGGAGGTCTTCTGCACTTCGTTTCGAAAGTCTAGGGGAGGTGTTCTGTCCCCTGTCTGCCAGTCCCCTCAGTCTCTGAAGTGGCTGGCATTCTTTCCCTAGAAAGCTTCCTCTGCTATAAATCACATTTATAGCCCTAATGTCTTTAAAGCTTTGTCTCCAGGTGTGGATTTTCAGCTTCTTGTGGCTGAGGCTAGGAATATCGTAGAGGCTGAAATAGTGGGGAACGTTAGCTCTGGAGTATCAGACCCACTTGGGATAAAATCAATTATCTCCCCCACCCTACAGCATCGTACCCCACCTACATGGCTGTTTCATTTTCATATGCGTACTCATCTCTGGCCCCAGAACTTTTACACAAGCTGATTCCTCTGCCTGGTCTTTATTCACCTGGTTAACTTGTACGTATTTCTCAGATCACAGTTCAAACTTCATTTCTACAATGAAGTCTTCCTTGATATTCTTGTTTCTGGTTCTCAGCACCAGCTGCATTTCCATCTTAGAATATAGTACAATGCTGTTTTATGTTTGTTTGTGTAATATGTGTCTCCCCCACCAGATTATAAGCCCCATGAAGGCAAGCGCATTGCTTTTTTGTTTAGTGTTGTTTCTCTAACAATTAGGCACAGTGCCTGACAGTAAGAGTGCAATATGTAGTTGCTGAATGAATGAATAATACCTATTTTATAGCGTTGTTGTGAAGAGTAGGTGAGATAATACATAAATGTTTAATAAACATTAATTTATAGGACAATTAGTGAGATGGCCCTTGGTGCTAGATACTTTTCACAAGTTTGATGTACTTACCTTATAAGGAAGCTTAGGGTACCAAAAGGAAGACAACGCACCTGTCCAGCAGTTTCCCTCTTTTGGATTTGCAGGACATATAGGTGTTCCTTTTGAGCTATGTAAGAAAAGAAAACCTTTCACAGCTCACTTCTTCCATTGTGTGGCTAGGATACTCTTTTCCACCTCCATAATAAACCTGAAGGGGGAATTTTCTAGTTATCCTACTCTGATTCATAGATGGGAGAATCAGGCTCATTCAAGGCACAGCACATTCCCTGATGGAGCGAGGAGCCTATCTTCCAGTTGGGACTACAATCTGCTGAGCTAGGCACCAAGAATGGAGAATGCAGAGCAGCTGCTGCATGGTGCACTTGCATGGCATCACTATGCACAGAGAGCAGGAGAAATTGCATTTAGTAAAGGCAGCTCTGGGGAAGGGGGAACCTGAGAGAAAGCCCAAGCCAGGTGGGTGACACTGACACCTGAATAAGGATAGAGCAGAACATTGGTGGGGTGTGGGTCTAGGCCTCCCAGCCAGGATCAGGAAAGCCTTGACTCTGCCTTTAGCTTTTGCTTTTCCTCTGTACAGATGACCTTGGCCCTTCATGTTCATATCACATCCCCCATTTCTCTGCCTCTCCCCAACTTCTGAGGATCTGGTAGAAACCATGGCACAAACAGTGCCACACCCAGGGCTTATTTTGGACATAGTGAGCAAAAGTATTTGAGTACCAACCCTCCCCTTGTTATCTTATCCTAACTTATCAAAGTCAAATTTTATTTAACAACTTGTATTTTCTACGATGACAAGTAGCATGTGATAGAAAAATAAAATAATACATAGGTAAAAAGAAAACAAATACAGAGATAGCTACTTTTTATATTTAGGAAAATGAAATAATTTGTGCATAGTTTTGTTTTGTAATATTCTGTTTTTCTGAATGCATTTATTATTAGACCCTACATTAGAAACAGTTCTGTGAGACCAGATTTTGCTCAGAATGGAAACTAGCCTTTCTTTTCTTTTTTTTTTTCCAAAATAGATCTTTTTGTTAAAGTGTAACCTGTATAAGAAAAGTGCACAAACCACCAGTGTGCAACTGGATGAATTTTTACACAGGGAACATACATGTGAGATGACTACCCACATCAACAAATAGAATATTACCAGCACTCCAGAACATACCCTTAGGCCCCTTTCCAGACACTAATCCCCAAGGGTAATCATTATTCTGGCTTTCAGCACCACGAATTACTTTTGCCTGTCTTTGAACTTTATATAAATAGAATCTTACATTGCATACTTTTTTGTGCCTGGCTTCATCTCAATATCATGTTTGTAAGATTCATTCATATTGTTACAGATAGTTGTGTTTCATTCATTCTCATTGCTGTATAATAGTCAACTGTGAATATACTACAATTTAGTTATCTTTTTTTCCCCTGTTGATAGGATTTGGATACTTTCCAGATGAAACTATTACAAATCATACTGTGATGAACATTCTACATGACCTTCAGTGAATGGAACAAACTTTTTTCAGGTATAAACCTAAGAGTGGAACTGTTGGGTCATGTTGTCATTGTTGTGTGCTGTTAAGTCAATTCTGACTCATAGTGACCCTATATGACAGAGTAGAACTGTCCCATAGGATTTCCTAGGGTGTAATCTTTATGGGAGAAGATTGCCAGGTCTTTTCTCCTGTGGAGCTGCTGGTGTGTTTGTACCACCAACCTTTCATTTAGCTGCTGAGTGCTTAACCATGCACCACTAGGGCTCCTGTTGAGTCATGGGATATACCTATATTCAGCTTTACTAATATTGCCAAACAGTTTTCCCAAGTGATTGTACCAGTTTACTCTGGTGCTAGCTGTGTATGAGAGCTCCAGTTGCTCCATATCATTATCAGTGTTTGATATTTTTGAATTTTTTGTCTTGGCCATTCTGGTGGGTATATAGTGGGATGTCATTGTGTATTTAATTCGCACTTCTCTGATGCCTAATGAAGACAAGCAACTTTTCATATGTTTATAGATCATTTAGATATCTTACTTGGCAAACTGTTTAAGTCTTTGGCCCATTTTTATATTGGGTTGGATATCTTTTTCTTACTGATTTGTAAAAGTCCTTTATATATTTTGGATAATTGCCCTCTGTTGGTTACATGTACAGCAAATATCATCTCCCTATCAGAGGGTTGCTTTTATTTTTATTCTCCAATGGTATATGTATTATTTATTTATTTTTTATGTTTTTAATATAGTGCGATTCATTACATTCTCCCTGTGGTTGGCACTTTTTTGTTCCCCATTTAACTTTTTTCTCCCTGCTCAAGCTCATAAACATGTTCTATGTTTTCTTCCAAAGTGTTTTACCTTTTATATTTAGATTTACCATTTATCTGGAATCATTTTATTATGTGATCTGAGATAGGAATTGATTCATTTTCCCTCCATAGTGATGTCTAATTGACCCAGCACCACAAAGTAGAAATACTATACTTCCCCCACTGCATTTTGTCTCATGTGAGTCTGTTTCAGGAATCTGTTTGGTGCCATTGGTCTCTTTTTCTATCATTTAGCATCATTTGTAAGACTGTGCACTATTTCATTCCCTGGAAAGTGACACAATTTACTCAACAAACCCTCAGTTGCTAGGCATGTAGTTTGCTTCCAATTCAAACATATTTTCTAAGTCCTATCTTTCTACTCCCAAAGTAGCATCCTCTGTTCATCAATGGGTCTTATCTACATACCCCTTTCCCTAATTGACTATATTGTGGATTTTTTTAAAAAAAGTACAGCTGTGGTGTGCAATAAAAGGGGCTAAATACTTTTATTTGGAAGCTGTAAAAAGATGCCACCCAACAGATGTTTTTTTAAAAAAATTATTTAAATATTATATATATATATGTAAAATCTCACAAAAATTTGCCACATCAACATTTTTTACATGTGTAGTTCAGTGACATTAATTCCTTTCGTCATGTTATGTAACCATCATGACTATCTATTTCCAGATTTCCCACTACTCTTAGTAGAACCTCATTACCCTCAAAGGAAGGATCTTTTTGAGCCAGAGTTTCTGGGGCTATTGGTTAGTTCCTATCATGCTTGGGAAGAATATTTCCAGTTGTAATAGCAGTCGTGGAAGCTGAAGAGCAGCAAAGACCTTGTATGCACACATATGAGAGAAGGGAGGCTGAGGAACCAACTACTCCTTGTCCTGATGAAATCTTCCATCCACTCCTTCTTCCGAGGAGCCGAGCCTTCTTGCTTCTGCCCCCATTTCCCTTTCTTCTTACCTCTACCCCTTGTCCTCTGGCAATAACTTAAGTCCCAAGTAAATGTTCCCATGAAGATATTCAGGACAACATTCATAAGGGATGAACCCAGAAATGTTCAGTTTGCCAAGGAAAATGGAAACTTGCTACAGAAACGATCTAGTCTAGTGACTTGCTGCTGGCAAACAGGACAGCAAAGGCGAGAGTCAGTGAGAGCCATGGGTGGGTCAGCTCGTCTGTGGCTTTGGACGGGGGAGGTTCTGGTCCCAGCTGTGGACAGATGTGCTCTTTCAGCCTTCCTCCCACTTCACTCAGGAAGAGGGAGTCAGAGCCAAGAGCCACACAGATGTCAGCCAGGAAGGAGCAACGACAATGAAAAGGTGGAAAGGAGTGGGTCTGGTAGAGAACATGGTGTGAGGAGGTTCCCAAGGGAAACCAGGGGAAAGCGCTGGCAGACTCCAGTGACAATCATGTTTGCTTTCTCCTAATTAAAGCGGTTTCCTTACAAACCCCTGCTGATCCCAGCTGGTCGACTCAACCATAACAACATGTGGCCTCCCCTGCCCAGGCCAGAAGCTGAGGCTTGAGCCTCCCAAGAAGGGTCTAGTTTCATCATCAGCCACTGCCCAGCCTCCCCCTCACTCACTTTGTGCTGAAGAGGGAAGGGAAAGCACCTCAGACTGTGGGGAGAAGGGGAGTCAGGGCCAGCCTGCTTTGGGCTTGTGTGTCCT